AAAAGACTTTACATGTTTCAGTGCTGGTCTTTTGCACCCGAGTGGGATCGCTTGCACCGCGCTCATGACACGCCCGTATTTAGCTAAGGCATCTGTAATAAAATTGTCAGGTAAAAAAGGGGAACATTTGATAGCACAATTTTTGTAGAGGGGCGGACAAGAGGTTCAACAGAAACATGGAGGTCTCCAATGTCAAGGCCAGCGGCAGAAACCATGTCGACCCATGTAACCTTATTTAAAAAGACAACAACCGATCGGTTCATACGGGATGCAGCCACAATATTACTGACCCCGACTAAATCTGCACCGACTCCACATAAGTTTCAACAGGAATGCCATCAATGTTTTCACACCGTACCGCATGGTTTCTAGTAAGGTGACCTGTTGGTGTTGACGGTGGCCTTGTGTGAGCGGCAGCCATCTTGGTTGCCGACCACCTTGCCAAGGCAAAGGCAAAAACACTCCAAAACCCACAATAATAACGAAAACAACAACTATAAATTACTCACGTAAAGGGTAGACACACTATATATACAGCTGTGTAGAAACACGGGCGCACAACGAGCGCAAAAACGCAAAACAGGCAGAAAATCGGGGAGCGCTGAAAAGCACCGCGTTCACCCGATTGTATTATATTATATTATATTATATTTCACAATACGAACTGACGATAAACGGACAATAGTGAGAAAATACTATTCTGAAATGTATATCTCAAAACAAAAATAGGATTAGGTGTAACCCAATTTTCAAATTACCACCTTTTTTCCAGAACTGAAACCTAATTTACATAGTCTGTAAACTATTTGCCTTAAAGCAGGAGGGGCGTCACCTGCGCAAGTGCGAGAATTGAGTCCCAAGGGACGATAACAACGCACACTCAAAACGCAAAGGCTCATGGGCAGACACTTTTTTGTCAACAATGACACGCTATGGCTATCTGACGCATGCGCAGATGACGACTCCCCCACTTTAAGAAATGGATTTTTTTCGTGGCCATCTGTTTGTGGTGTCAAGCGGCATGGGTTTTATTTTTCATTCGTATATTGGAGTAGGCTGAGTGACAGCAATGTCGACCATTGTAACGAAAATATAAATATTGATACACCAAGCAATATACTATAAATAATACTAAATGATGAATACATTATATATACTTACGTATATCGCACGCAGGACCTTTCCAACCAGGTGTGCATGCGCATGCTCCATTTAAACCATGACACGTCGCTCCATTTTTACAGATACAGTCATGCTGACAATTGAAACCAAACTTTCCATCTGGACATCCTGAAAAAAAAAAGATACTGAAAATCGTCTCTTGGCGTGGTAGTTGTGTGTACTATAATTTTGCATACGCTGAATATGTGCGACTGCATGAATATTATAAAAAAATGTCTGCTTATGGGTTGTGACGTACTTTAAAGGGCGGTGGTTGTTGCGCAGCGCCCTGTTCGATATGGGACTCATAGCGACGTAAACAAAGCATGTAAAATACATTGTTAATTTAGATGAAATTCGAACATGTGCTGCGTGTCGACATCCACCCTTTAAATTCTAATATATAGAAAATAATAGTAGATAATTGTAGGCCTCAGTAATTATTCAATATTATGGTTATATTAAATAATTACTAAGAACTGCGATTACCTACAACTGTTTTATATTTATCACCAATTATCACCAATTTCACCCAAAATTCTGTTTAGTGATTGGTGTGATCGACTTGTGTGATTTGCATATCAGTTATTAGATAACATACTAATTTGCATATCGCCAGTGAACATAACGGTCGGGCACGTCGCCACTATCTCAAACTTACAGATTCTCTGGTTGAAAGCAATTTGTTGTAGTTTCCAATATTCTATAATATTCAATATGAAGTATTTTAAACACAAATTGTGGAACACTACACCAAATAAACAAACAAGATTATGTTTATTTTTGCTTATTTGCATATCGACAGTGGAAATACCAACTATATTTTCGAGGGTACAAAAAAATAAACTGCAGGAGTTATAGACATCATAGTTGTTCAGACTGCTTCTTAAAAAAAAAACATATACATTCCACTTCACATCTTGTTCTATTCTTCTCTAAAAGTATGTTTGAGGGACTGTGATCTGAAAAAATGTCACTAACCAATGAACTCCACGTGTTGTTCCGAAATGATAATCGGGTTAATCGGGTCGTTGCATACCCAACTAGCGCCCTTTAGCGAATGGTACATAAATTCTGGAGTCATCACCAGTTTTAAAAGTTTACGATCAGTTCTGTCTTCAAACCACTTAAAATCGGCCAGTCTTCCCTGTATCGTATCCTGAAATAACAATCACGTGACTAACACCTTATGTCAATATATAAAAAAAAAAAACGTCTAGTCGTAGGTTGTCAAAGGTCATATTCATTACAGAATATGAATAATAAAACAGAAGATGTTACGAAATTGGTGAATTCGTGATGGCGTATCACCTTAAAGTCACGATCCGAGAAATCATTCAATTATTATTTATGTAACAGGCATGTGACAGAGAATCTTATGACGGACATTGGTAAAAAAAAACAGTCTTACGGGTAAGTAGGTTTCAAGATGGAACACGTCTACAGTGGCGTCGTATTCAATAACATCACATCGTATCACATCACCATAATTAAGTGGTACCAATCTCTCAATATCCATGTAAACAGTGAAAGTACCTATGTGTAATAACACAAATAATGGTAAGAGCATTGTGTTATATCCCAGAAATGTAAATATAAAACAGACTTTTTTCTAATGTTTGTTTAATACTGATATGCATACAGGAATGTCGTGAAAGTTTTCCTATACAAGTTGGAAAACAACCTGACTAATCATAATACCTTAGCGGATGAATACCACTCGCATCGTGTGACCCTTGACCCATCGCGAAGATTCCCTTGCTACATTGCTTTAAGATTACCCATGGATGTGATTTAGAGTTAAGTTGTGTAAACATATTTATGCAGAAACCCACGAGTAATGTGCGTTATTATAAGCTTCTTCGACCGATTCGAAATGTTCTCGGATGATAACAACAATTTTAACTCCAACTGCGTTACTTGGTAGTTGCATATAGTCAGTTTATTAGACTGGCGCAGACGGGCTATTAATTTGTTTTTGTAGTTTAAATAAAATAAAAAAATTCGTGAAATGGAGGTGTTAGCGCGAAATCCCCTGTAACTGCGAAATCGATTTTGTGCTAACACTACCATTTCAGGATTTTTAAAATTTTATTTAAACTACAAAAACAAATTATCAATTTATATGCCACCACGAAAACAGAACACTTTGTATCTTTGTATATAGACTAGTCCACCCGTTATACTGTGACAAAAGTAATGGCACAAGGTAACGGGAACTAGACTGTGTCAGATGTTAAATCTACCAGTAAATATTCATTAATGGGGTTAACTGTGGAGATTATAAACTAATTTCCTTTGTCTCAGATGGGAGTTGCATGTCCCTGTTTTCTAATTGTGTCTAATTGTGTCTAATTTTCTGTTGTGATTTGTTGTGCCTGTACAAAGTATGTTGTAGGTTATTTCACATCTGTCAGTACTCTAGTTTGTTTACTTATTTGTTTGTCTGAATCATAGATCTAGATGACTTATTATGTAATGACGTCATTTGTAAATTATGCTTTACATACATTCTTTACTGGGCATTGTGGTATCATGATAAAACAAATCCGCTGACCATACTACTTGTTCTGACATCTTGTTTTGCAGTGGAATCCCGTCCCTGTCAACGATTTGAACAAAGAAAGGCTGTAAAATAAATAAAGGAGAAAAAAAAAACTTTATTTGCGAAAGGGTTAATGAATTTCTCAACACAATCCTGTTTGTTTATTTTTCCGCAAAACACGGACGTTACTCTTTTTGGATGTGCATTGGTAGATTTGATTCAGATTTGATTTCTTCTGCCGTCGTTATTGATTGTAGCTTATTATAATTACTAGTATGATGCCATTATATCATGAAACTCACTAAATTTGTACACAGTCCATCTATAGGACTGTGATTCATACAACCATCTTACATCGAAGGTCAATAACGGTGCGTTCATTCAACAGCGGTAGATGTACAGTATTGGTATTTTGAAGGGAAGAAGAACCAATTCTATACCGACTTTAATACTGATAAACAACTAATGGATACTGGTCACCTGCAAGTTCTACAGACAGACGGATGGACAGAATGATGCATGTAGGCAGTCTGTTTGACCAGGAAATGCATACAGTTGGGCAGACAGACAGAGGGGAGCTATCCGCAGAATATGATGTAGATAATATTTAGTAATTGTTGTTCTAAGTAACTATCCAAAATTGCCACACGTTTCAACCAATAGCTCTTTATCGATAGCAAAGAAGAAAGTGTTTATTCGCAGAATAGGCATGTAGTAAAACTCATCCCTGGTACTTTCAGTGACGACGAACACACAGCAGAATAATTTGATAATCAGTATTGATCGATTGTAATTGTGAAGTTATTGTCGTTATATTATAACTTGAATGTCGGCATTGAATATATAACAATTATAAAGTCATTGCAAGTTAAAGAGCGGTGGTCGTCGCGCCACGCATGCACGAGATATGAGTCTCATGTGAACAAAAGTGGCGATTTTGACTATTGTGCAGACTATTGAGACAAACTGAGACGTTACTAAGCTTAAACTAGGCAATTTCTTTGGTGATTGGAAGGTATCGAAGGAGTCAACAATACTAATTGGAAAATCAATATTTATCAACACAAATGTCGCACATGTGCGGCGCGACAACCACCGCCCTTTAATACAACATTTTTTTACAGCATAGTGTGTACTAAGTTACGTACGTAGTTAGACGTTCTCTCGTCATCGGGACATAGGCAGCATGTATCATTGAAATATGGTGGCCACCACGGGTCATCTTCAATATTCACAATCAAGGTAAGGCACTCAACGGCGACAAAAGACGGCATGGTGTCCTTTATAAACAAGAAACACATTAATTTAATGGTTATAACACACAGCCAATGGTATATTTGAAGTATCAAAGATGCATTGGTTGAAATCCTAATTATTCGTGGATTATGATGCATGATGAAGAAATGTATATACTACATGGTATTTAGTAGCGCCCTCCCTGGCCGATCGACATCAGACCTCACTGTTCCGTTTGGAGCACCGCGGAGGGCGCAACTCACGCGACCCCGTCAGGCTAGGTAGTAGTACATGTAGTATGTCGAGAGGGTTCTGCTCTCTGGTGTCAGAGAACAGTGTTAAGGTAGATGTAAAATAGTGGAAATATAATTTATTCCAAATCAACCCACGCGCGTGCAGTATGCCTGTCTTTTATTATTCTCTAAGGGGTTGATGCCGAATACCTCTGGGGCATGGAAACAAGGAACCCGCGACTTGTTTGTGTTGTGTCTAGAAGTGGTGGGACAAGAAAGTTACTTACATTATACCAAGTAATATTCAGCTGATACTGGGGTTGTATATCATAATCGACATACCCTTGAAGTGAGACGACGCCGGTGACGCTTACACTAAACCTGGCATCCTGGAACAAAGAAAGAACATAGTAAACACTGATGCAATACTAACGAAACGTGTTCGTATCAGCCACATCATTGCATTCTGTGTACTAAGTTCCCCGACTAAGTTCCCGACTAAGTAACATAATAATGGCATGAATATTTGAATGGTGTAGTAAAAGCGTACAAGGTATATGCTCACAACTATCGTGAAATCATAGACCCTCTATGATTAAAACCATCATGTTTCAGTGATAATGAAATACTTGCCTTGTCCGTGGAAATCTCGATAGAAAAACTGTTGCTCTGGGTGTTTTTAATGACGTCACGTAAGAAATAGATATCTGTTCCGGTCGTTGTTGTCTATAAGTATACACATATGCAGGTGTTAAACATTGATATAGTATGCTATGGGATATGTCTTATCCGGGTAGATATCCTAGGGGGAATACATAGAACTTGCCTTATGGGGACGTACCCCTGAAATGGGTCTCGATTTTTTATTTTAGGTATAAGTATTGGTCTTATTTCTGGTCAAGATAGGTATAAATATCGGTAATATGTTTCCGATTTGGTATACTTATGGGTCCGTATATGAGCGAATATCTCCACCTCAGATCCCGGCCTCAGATCCATATATACATCAACCCGGAAATTAAACAAGGTAATCAACATTTAAACGTAGATTTAACACGGAATAGAAGAGGACGCACATTCTTCAGTGAATTGGCTTACATGTGCTTTTATCGGAGATGCTCTTCTAATAGAGCAAATACGGTAATTGTTTTATTTGGAATAAACAGTGATGACAGAAATGGTATTTTGGCATAAATATGGGTATAGGTTTTGCCACTATCTAGGTATAAAAATGGTCACACTTGTGAGCACTCAGGGGCAACAGCTATGTATCAACTGCCCCCGGGGGAGATATACTATTATTAATTGCCATATGTATATGGAGATGGGCTCTAACACTGCGATAAACTTGAAGACTTTCCATTTTCGACATTGTGAATTGTGTTCGTTTTATGCAGAAAAATACAGTATTTTTACCAAGTAAAATCATTTTTTAAAGTTATTGTCCGTACATAAGTTGTTGAACACAATACAGTTTGTAATTTCATTCAGCTGCAAAAATATAGAAAATATAACAAATTTTCTTTTTTTTTCTGTATTATCTTTGTGTAATCAGAAATTATGAACATTATCTTTGGTGTGCATATGGAATACATCATTTTTTGCTGAGAATTATTCTTAATATAGTTATGAATTTTCTATTCTAATTCAGTTGTTTCCACTCCCCAAAAAACAAGATAATTTCACAATGTCGAAAACGGGAAGTAGTGTTCTCTATGGTATATTTTTTGACAATAACTTCTATTCTTTCGATAACATTTCTAATTTTCCAATTTCTGGTAAGAAACTGTTAATTTCAACGATTGTCAAAATATTACCACATTTCCTCTATTGAGAGCGCATCCCTGGTAGAAAAACCAAAAAATGCATTTGTTGTATACTAAATCATTAATTAAAACATTTTGTCAACTTAATATTTCATAAGTTTTAATTTTTTGGTAAAAAAATCTATTACTAAGAGATGTTGGGTGACTATTTTCAATATATATGTCGATACTTTCATCACAAAACAATGGTACAGCTTGGCATATATCGTATGGTTTGACGTACAGGGGGAGTTCTCATATTACCGGTACAAGAAGCAATACTCGCCGTTGACCTGACTATATAATTCAGTACGAGACAGGTTTTTGCGTCATAAACATGGTTTGAAGTGCCTGCATTTCTAACAAATGGTACCCGCTCAAAACATTTTGTTAACGTGATGATAAACATACGCCTTTAGTATGTATTTAGAACCAGTGAAATTAGCACTCCTGAAATCAGGGTCTCAAAATTGACCTGGAATAGATCGTCTGACAAGTTTCCCTTCCGCGTGACACCTCACCCCCTACTGTTTGTTTTTTTATAATAATTTGCTGAAAAACTGTGTTTACACTGAAATTAAATCTAAACGCACACGCCAACACCAGTATGATCAGCGCTTGGCCCAAATTGATTGAATAATGTCCCGTCGGATAACACCCCTACTGATCTATACGTATTACTTACGAATTTGATTATTTTAATAAGCACATACTAAAAAATATCACATACAAAAGAATCATTTTGCATCTAAAGGAAAAGGAAAGATACAAACATAAACTATGTTAATGAATACTGTGAAATACTTTATTTTAGCTGGAATTAATTTTCGCTGAAAAGGCATTTTGGGGGTTTTGTATGGAATTTATTTTCACTGATTTTTGATGAGTTGAATGTGAAATATAGGAAAAAAAGTATATTCACTGGATTTTATCTTCACGTAATCATCCCTTCAGCGAAAATAGCGAAAATAAATTCCAAGCGAAAATAAAGTATTCTACAGTATTTCTGTATCATTATCAAAATCCTTAGCCTGTGTTTGGAAAACTTGCACGAGCGCTTAGCACGAGTAAGAAATGCAAATTATTGGATAAGTCTGATCCGTTTTCAAGAACCGGCCCAGAAAACAGCATGGGTAAATACTTAGCTTGGGCCAAGCGCCCAAAACACTACTGTATCCAATGTACATTTGAAAGATTTACTATTATCACAGTACCATAATAGAGGGACGGTGTTTTTATGCTAATAAGTATTCTTCCTGTCTGCCAATTATGACAAGACAATCAATGCAAAAGCATCTAATAAATGAATATTGAACTGACGATGAAACTCTGTACTACTTTCTGTTATTCTGCAATCAGCACTTTCTAAATTTATTTTGGTATTGTTTTATAATGGTAGAACAATAACACTTCCTGGTGACTGTACTTGCACATTATCATACATTAGTAGTCTGAGTGTGAACATATGTTGTACAAGTAGGATATTTCAGGGGTTGTTTCCTGGCTGCTGGCTTGGAGGGAACTGAGTGATTAGTAAACAATGGTTACAATGTTTACCAGTACTGTCAAGATTTGAAGCTTTGTATATTCTCAACAGGTTTGGGCGTTCCTTGATCCGTGCTAACCGCTGTTTCACCCCGTGCATGAATGCAATTGGGTCTAGTCGATATACAAATAAATATACTACTTAAAAGCAGTCAGAGCTTAAATCTCAGCCCATACTCGATGTAGCCATGAAGCTGAAAAAATAGATGGTGTAGCAATAGACCTTAGAAAGATCGAAGGTTTATTGTGTAGCCTGAACACGAATTTTTACATAACTTGTAAAAATTCGAGTCATCGCAAACACTGTTTGTTTTAATGGCTTTGATATCGAATAAACAGGTTTGGTAAATAAATCCCCAATGTTTGTAAATGGTCACCTGCGGTCTCTTCACTAAAACCATGATTACTTTTTATTGTTATGCTGTATTTTGAGTTTGCTCGTAAAAAAAATACCACATTTGTAAACACTGTTCATCGCGTTGACCTGACTACGATAGAATGCATTGTGAGACAGGTTTTTATGCCATAAAAGTCTGAAGTGTTTAAATTTCTAATACATTAAATTTCCAATATATCCGCCCAAATACTTTGTTGTCATGAAAAAGTATGCCTTAGCAACTTGACAGAATATTAGACACAGTGAAATGTTTGATTAAAAAAAAAAAAAAAAATGGAATTTTGAAATCATTATCTTGAATATTGATCAAAAATTTTGTCTAGCAAATTTTCTTTCCGCATGACACGGTAACTTTCATTTTCTGAATCAACACCCATAAATTGACCAGAAAAAGCAAATTTTCCCGTCAATTAGTTGGTCATGTGACCTCATTAATTATGCACATACGTATCTGATTCCTAGAGATACGTACGGTAGATATTTATGCATTTATATTGTGCATATGTTTACAGATTTAAATAAACTAATAGCTGGTCACATGACCTCACTAATCATGTGCATAAAAAATCTCAGAAATATATTGCAAAAATGCATTTACTTGTTAATGTTTGTTATCAATATTAACTAAAAACACATGGTGACCAAAAACATGCATAACTACTAGTAAATGATTATATA